GCCTTATATAACAGCAGCTTTGAATGATTTAACAAGCAATTTCTTAATGTTTCAAAACAATGAATTAAATCCTTAGAACCAATTGGACTGTCTCGTATAACCTTTAAATAGTGAGCCATTTGAGGTATGAAACGGGAGAAATAATTGTAAAATCCTATCACTTGAAGTTTTTGTTTTGGAGTTTGGGGAGGTTGAAGTTTCTTAAGAACCTCTAAATGATCTTGGTTAATGGATAAATGACCATCTGTGACTGAGAAGCCTAAGAATTTGAAATTGGTGGTGAGTAACTGGAGTTTCTTGGGATTCATTCTCAAATTAAAATGATCTAACAATTCAAAAACTTGATATAAGACCTTCATATTTTCTTCTTCACAACTTGACATGATTATTATGTCGTCTAAATAAGAACAAATGGTAGTAGTCTTGGGATCAACTTGAATTTTTGTAAGCAACCCTCTAAGAATGATTGAAAATATAGCAGGCGAACTGTTAAGCCCGTATAACAAACGATTGATGCGATAAACTCCTGAGGAAGTAGCAATACCAATTTTGGAGTTCTTAATTTTGATTTGACTATAAGCATTGGACAAATCTAGAATGGAAAAAACCTTGTAGTTACCGATGGAGTTCAAAATCATGGATAAATCAGGTAATGGTATGGTTTGATATTTGATATGAGTGTTTAATACACGGAAATCAACAACGACTTTACTTTTCTTGTGATGAGATGGTGGGGTGACAAAAATGGGACACGTATAGAGAATGCCATTGGATAAATCATGAGGTGTAATGATACCTTTCTCTAAATTGTCCTTGATAAACTGATCAACAATAGGTTCGTGTTGTGGTGAAACTGAGTAGCTTTTATGAGTCCATGTAGTAGGTAAATTGTGAAATTCTAACTCATAATCAAGCTCACTAGTGATTTTCTCCGTATTGTAGATATCTGGAAACAAAAATGACCAATAATGTGGATCTTTAGCTTCTTCTACCGACATTGGTGGATGAGCAGTGGATGGAGTAAAAGCAGAGTCAATCTTAAAAACCTTAGCACTGGGAGCAGTAATAGAATTTGCGACAGCAATCTGTAAATCAAGACCTGGAATAGTAAAACTTTCAGTACCACTAGGCAGCAACTGATAACTTAGTGACTGAAGTGTAGCATAGCCAATTACCACGTCAATGGGGTGCATAGCTGTTTTGATGAAATAAATTGTAAAACTGGGTGAATCAACATCATAGTTATAAAAATGAAGTTTAGCGTTAGCTGAATAATAACTAACCATTTCATGTTGAGATGCACTTTTAAAATAATGAACAGTATCAAGCCGTGTAGGTGGAGATAGTAGTAATGAAATTGAAGTATAATTTGAAAAATGAATAACTTGTGATTGAGATGAAATTGTATGTGTGAATAAAATATTAACTGGAGATTTGGAGCTTCTAGCACCTGTATCAAACAAAAGAACCTTATCTTGGAGATGATCTTCAGTAGATAGGCCGATAATTAGTGTTTGAAGTTAAACCAGCATTAGCAGTAATTTCATATAACACCTGTTGTTCTTGAGTTTCATCATCTAAACCACTTGCAGCATCTGATGGTGGTGTAATTTCTTCAATACCTAAAACATCATCAGCTTCTTCAAAATGTAACTGATCATTTGGAATAAGTTCAATTTCTGCATCTAACAAGTCATCTTGGTAAATAACGTTCACTGCTGCATTTGAAGCAGGTTTACGTTTAATATAGTCATCATACAGCTTCTTGTTGATTTCACAACGACTGCAAGAACAACGTTTGCAAAAGTAATTTTTGAATTTTCTTTTACTAGGTTCAGTGGACTTGTTGTTGTTGGATTTGTTAAACCGTTTTATTGATGGATTAACAGCATAAGTAATAGCAGAATTGGGAAATGAAGTTGGTGGAGCAGTTGTTGAAGTATTCACTAATTGTGGAGATGAATTGAGCTGGCTAATAAGTTCAGCTGTGAATTTGTGTTGAGACAAATTATACCTAGACAATAGAGTATAAAACTCATTGCGGTTTTGAATAATGAAGAATTGGTGTAAATTCAAATTTGGAATAATCAAGTCCAAAATTTTAATCACACGAAATTGGATAACCGAATAAGAACTGAAAGAGTGAACATCTCTTGACATTTGAAATAATGTTTCAAAATAACCACTAACAGTTTGACCAATAACAGGTTCACATTGCAACAAATTTTGAAAACGAGTAATTTCCTCACGGTGGAAATCGTAGTCTTGTAAAAGGGTTTTCAACATTTGGAGATAGTTGTAATTTCTCTCTTCATCTTGAATATTGGTGTTCTTGTTAATAACCGCCTTGTTGTAAGAATCCAAGAATTGGTAAAGGAAATTACCATATTGAGAAAAGCTTAGCTGGAGAAAACCAGCTCTGGTTTGAAAATTCAATAACTGTTGGCAGATATTGGAATCAAATTGACGAATAAGTTCATTTTCTTTGACGACAATTTGGGAACCACTAATTTCACTTAACAATTTAGTTCCTAAGACCTTGTTCTCTTCAATAATTAAACTTGGAAAGAATCTTTTCAATGTAGAAGTAATATCAGGTTGAATTTCATTGATAGGAACGGATTCTCGAACTTCAGATAACTGAAGAGTTAATGACTGTACTTGTTGGAACAAGTTTGCGAGAGCATCAGCAGTTGTTGATTGTGGCATTTCAGTTTCAGTAGTTGGAGTAGTTTCAAAGTTGGATGAAGTGAATTCAGTAGGATGGTTTGAAGTTTCAGTAATTGTAGTATCAGAGTTTGCAGTATCAGAATTATCGCCTTGTAATTCTAATGCGTCGTGATAAATTGTTGTAGATGTATCTGATTCTAACGGATGAACTGGAACTTGATGTCTATTTGTGTATTTCTTGAATCTTTGTTCACGAGATTTTGATTGTTGACTCATGGCGTGATTCAGAAAATGGGGGTGTACCAATTGTAAAAACTGGAGACAAATTTTGGTGTTTATATGGTGGGTGATAAACGACAGTGACCTAATTGCAATTTCCAAACGATGACAAATTGTTTTCAAATAACTAGACGAAAATCTGGTGGAATGATCTTTTTGAAGTGGATAATCTTGGATAGATGTATTCAGGGGTGTAATACTCAATAAACAATGAAGTAATCAAGTATATTAGTTGTGCAAAAGTCAGTGGACTAGATGAACGACAAACTAGGCTGAATAACAAAATAATTAAAGTATTGAGTCCTTCCAACTTGTTCCTTTAATCTCGAAAAGTCAACGAGAGGATTCTTGAATAAATTCCGAAGTTGTACTTGATTTTAACAATGGTAATACTTTAACAAAATATTAATATTTTGTAGCTTTTGACGGGAGATCTAACAATTACTGTAAGAGTAGATTCCTGATCAATACTAATAATTGAACGCTATAGCAAATGTAGCAAATCAAGTAAATGTATAATAATTGAATAATTGAATAAGTATATAGTATAAAATAGAATAAAAGTAAAAGTAATAATAAA